AATCGAGATAGTATGAAGTAATTTAAATTTGGACGAAAAAATTTTTGCATGAAATGCATAGATTTATGAATTAAATAAAATTCAAAACAATCAGACATGTTTTTCCTCAATTTAACAGCGGAATTATTCATATTTGCTCATCTTTATTCATTCATTTCTTCTTTTTGGTTGGTTTATTTCAAAATTTCGAGATTTATTTCATTCCTTTTTTTCCAATACAATAATTTTGCTATGTGCATTTAATGCAAATTTCCAGAAAGAAAATAAATGATATTTAATACTCTCTCATGAAAACGACCCATTCTAAACATAGCCATTATGTATATTTTATTTTAACTCCAATAATATCAGTCGGAAAAACAAAAAATGAAAAAATAAACGGAAGAAAGAAATAAAAGAATGGAAAACTCACATTGTTAGATTTTAAACTTTTCTTGAAAACCTCACCAATTGGCCCAAAAAAATAGTGCAAAAATTTGAGATTGAGAAGGAAAATATTTGTTAACTTTTTAGTATGAATTTTTTTTTCTTGTTGAAAATTTATCAAAATTTTCGTAGCATTTTATTGTGTTGCATTGCGAGAAAGTTCGAATTAACCAATAAACAGTTAAAATTGCATAAATTTTTTATAAAACGATAATTTCTGAGAACATCCAAAAAAAAAGTGGTTCCAGGTGGAGAAATTTTTCCTGCTCTATTCATTTCTCCCCTCTCTCTCTTCCTCTCCAATCCTGCTTTTCCTATCCCTTTCCACGTTATCTCGTCTCAGTTTTCTCTTTCCCCCTCCCTCCCTCTCCCTCTCTCTCTCTCTCTCTCTCTCTCTCTCTCTCATTGCTCGACTATTTCGAAATCGTTATTCGTCTAAGTGCGACATTTTAATCATTGCACCCATCTGATTCAGTGGAAACGACGATCTTTTCCGGTAAGCGATTTAAGTGGAAGTGTAGTTTGCTAGAGAGGACGAACCAATTTTATGTGATTTTTACGACATAGCCATAAAGATTTATATGAATAAAGCAGGCCGTAGAAATGGGACCCAGTACAGACACATTCATACACACACACACACACACACACACACACACACACACACACACACACACACACCTGCGTGTTTTGACAATTGAAGATGAGGCGGTTTCATGAGGAATATTGTCAATAAAATGTTCTTTGGGATACGATAAGATAGGTTTCTGATATGAATGATTGCAGCAAAATGGGACGACGAACGAATCCAAATTTCAATTTTCAAAAATGTTTATCATTAATTAAAATGGTAAATTTTATTGATTTTAAAAAATAACATGAAAAAAAAATGTTATAACAAAAATTTTACACATACTTTTTGTGATTCATTCAAATTTATAAAAATATGTCATCTTTTTTTTTTTAAAAAAAAAATAAATTAGAATAGAAATATTTTATTCCTAAAACAGTAGATTTATGAATTAGTATTGATAAGCCTTATTTCTCTAATAATATTTTGTTAAAATAACTCATTCATTTCATTACAGTTGACATTTAAATTTAATTATTAAAGGAATATCGTTTGTATGATTGAAATGCAATTACTGTTGTGATATGATAAGAGAATGCTGTTGATTTAGATTATTTGGACGAAGAAATTTCTTATGAGTCATCAAAATTTTTTATAGAAAAATGCAACTTTTTTAGCTTAAAATATTTATCTCAGAAAAATGTTCACTTTTCCTTCCACAGATACTTTGAATGTTGACTCATTTCCATTTGCATTTTAATTTCAGTCCATAATATAATGATTTCTATATGCTTTCTTATTTTCTTATTGTTTTAACAACCAAATTGGAATTGATAATATTTTCTCTTCTAGGATTATAAATTTGTTTTTACAAAAGATACATTGCTTTTTTTAACAAATAAAATAGAAATTCAATTTACTACTTGGAAAAAAAAAACTTCATTTTAGTCGAACTGTTAGAAACAAAATATCAAAATCATATCAAACTTATTTTTCAGTTGTAAAGTTAAACTAGAAAACTATTGTGAAATTTGCTTTTTTCCATCTTTTTTCCTTGTTAGTTTGATTCTCATCTTTTGTCTTAACCTTTAATTGTAAATGCTCTATTTTTGAAACTTTTAAAATTTAGCATTTTTTCGCAACTGTATTTTTACACTTCAAATATCAACCAGCATTATCGCTATCACAGCAATATCTTCTCTTTTCATAGCATGTTGTAAGTTATAAAATATTAATTATAAATCTTCTTATAAATTTTTGTTATTATCAGTCTGGTACATACATTATACAATTAGTATTTCATATTTTTATAATTAAAAAATTTCATTATTTCGTTAATTATGAAAATATGAAATATTAGGAAGGAACAAAAAGAAAAAGCATAGGTAAGTATGCTAATAATTTTACTAACCGTGACGAAAAGTGTTTCATGATGAATAGGAAAAAGATGATGAATCATAATGATAGAAATAAATTTTTTAAATTTATATCGCATAAATTGTTTAAGATTTATGTCAAATTACTGTAATTTGATCCGTCAAATATTAATAATAAAGGAATTGAATTCAGTAGCAGATGTTGCGATTTTCAATTCAATATGCATTCATCGTTTAAGCTCAATTGCTCGAAATGATTGCGAAAACTTTGAGAAGATAAAGTTTTTTATTTGTAAATGTTTAAAGATGGCAGTGAAGAGAGAAGAAGAGAAAGGGAGGGAGGAGAAGAAATTATGAAAGGGAGGGAGGGAAGTTTGCTCCAATGATTTTGCCTACAAAGCATCAGTTTGTTTGGTTTCATTTCAATTTAACGAGAACGACAAGGATGATATTTCAGGTTATCTTCCATGTTAATATTATCAGTGCATTTGATATGAGCTCATATAATTTTCCTTACTGTTCTTCACTCATTAATAATATCAATAGGTAAAGAACAATAGGCAAAATCATATATTTTTTTCTCATTCTCGGTTTATTTTTAATATTATTAATATTAAGTTAACTAGTAAATGTTATTGTTGAAAATATCTAATTGATCATACCGTTATTATGTCATTAGAAAAATGAATGAATCATTGCGATTTTAAATATGACACTTTTTTAAACTTTATTTTACAAAATTTCGTAAATAAATTTTCGACAACATTTAAGACAAATAAGATATTTGGCATCTGTAATTGATTTTCTACAATTTTCATTATTTTAGCATTTTATTATTCTTTCCCTATCATTTTCCTTTACAATTTCATTATATGTTTTGAAAATTTTAAAAATTTTTCTTCTTTAAATTACTGATTACCGTAATAAAATTACTGATGTAGGTATAAATGTAGTAACTGATGAATCAGAATAATATTAACTTTTTTTTTTCTTCGATAGTAATAAAATATCTTGTAGGAAATGTTTAAAGACAGTTGTTGAGAAAATAAAACTTATATTTACGACAAATTATTTCTTTGAAATATTTTCTTCTTCTTCTTCTTTTTTTTTCTCTCTCTCTCTCTCTCTCTCTCTCCCTCCCAAGTAATATTTTCGTTATTGACGATAGAAGTTAAACGATGTTACGATTACAAATATATGAAATTCCAAAATTTTTTTTAGGATTGGAACATTGATTGTTACGGTAATTTCTGCGAGGTTCTGCTGTCACTGCTATTACTCTTACTTACTACGATTTCCATCTGTGCTACTATTATTTAAGGATAAAATATAGGCGGAAAGAGGAGGAATAGATTTGAAAAGTGAGAAAGGGACGAGATAGGACGACCTGCCACTTATTGGTGACGGTTCATTTGAACGAGAAAAGGGCAATAAATGTAAATGAGCCGTATTTTGTTGGCGTTAACAGTCCAAAATAGCCCTTCAATAACCTTCCAAGACATCAACTAAACATATCCCTAAATATTCATTCCTTCTTCCATTCAATTGTTCAATCTTCACCATTTATTTATCTGTTAACAAACAACAATCACAACAAAAAAAGGAAAGAAGAAACGGAAGAAAACGGAATTCATTCATTCATTCTAACTGATATTTTTTATTTTATTAATCTGAAAAAATTTTTCTAAATGTTCACATTCTTATGGCTTTCTAAATTAATATTAGCGCCTATTTTACCGTATTTAATTTGTATCATTTAGCAATTGATTGATTAATTGATGCAAACAGCTAACCAATTTTGAAATTTATTATATTTTCAACATAATTTAAAGGGACAAAAAAAAAAATAAGAAAAGCTGAGATATTGACGAAAAAGAAAGGAAATTAATTAGTTTGTCGGGTCAATGATGATAACGATGTACAAAGCTAACGGACAAGTTTTACGAGCTGATATTTGATCTCTGTTGAGGGGATAAAACGGTGGGATAGAAATAATGTATACTACGATACTTCTTAATCACTGCTTAACAGCAATCACCATCCTTCTGAATATCGCATCAGCTCAACATTATAATTGGTTGTAAGCTATTTCTTTTCATCATTTTAAAATTGAAAAGAAAACAGAAAACATTAATGTAATGAAAAAAATTAAATGAATTCCCATTAAATAAGCTTTTTTTTTCAAATAAAGATAATATTAATTTGTCTATTTTGCACTGAAAATTACCATCCTATTATTATAAAATTATTTAATCAAAGTCAAATTTTTATCAAAAAAGTAAAAGAATTATAATTAAATAATTAGCAAAAGTGTTTATAAAACAGTACAGATCGCTGGCATTATCATCAACAGCACAGTATTCGCCAGCATTTCATGCAGCATCTGATTACGATAAGCAGCAATATCGAATACTGTGTGAGCGACTATTGGGTTTAAATCCAGCCCAAATTAGTATTTGTCAACAGGTAAATTGCTATTCTATTTTTTTGCACAAAAAAAAACAAACATTTACGACAGGCAAATATCGTATGCAATTGAGCGATATCTAATTTGAAATTAGTACAGCAATTAAGTTTGTATTTCTGAACATAATTATCGAGAATAAAAAAATTTTAGTGAGTAATGCCGAAGGATGAAAAGTATATGATGAACTAATTTCAAACTTATCATGAAAAGCTTACTAACTATAAATCTAGTTTTTAATTTAAATTGTAGAATTTTTCCTTTTCTTCATGAAGATAGCAGAGAATAATACAACGATAATTGTTTTCCTCGTGATTATTAAATTCCTTTATTTCATTACAGTATACTACGAATTTGATCTTAATTCAGCAAATATTACTGAACAATGGCAATTTCGTTTTTGACTTTTATTTTTTATTTTTTTGTTGATTAGTAAAATATAAAGTAAAATATACTGCAAATTTATTAAAACTGTTTTAAGTTTTAAACATTTTGAAACTATGCTGTTCGAATACTTGCAAGAATCCTTAACCCATATTTTCAATTTCTTAAAAAAAAAAGAAATCCTGCGAAATATGAATTTTAATAGATCCTAATATTATTGCATTCAATATTTCATTTTGCAGATTATCTTTTTTTACAAATTGCATAACTAAAGATATAAGGGTTTATTTTCTTGATAAATCAGCTAAATTATGAATTTCCAACTCTTTTTTTAGCATCCGTTTGCAATTCCGTCAATTGGACGTGGTGCGAGGGATTCAGTTGTAGAATGTCAAGCACAATTCAAGTTTGAAAGGTTCCATCTTCTTTTAAACAGTTCTATAAATTAGAAAAAAGAAAAAATTGAAACGATAACTGAAAACGTCAGTTCCTTTTTTCCTTCCAATTCGCTTAGATCCGTCTTCTTGTCGATCACATTATAGAATGCTTAGATTTTTAACAAATAACAATAATTCAAAAATACGGCAACCGCATGTATAAATATGAATCAAACTTTCAAATTAGGCATTCATTTCATTAATTTAATAATCTGGCAAATTTGAGAAATTTAACACTTTATTTTGAATTTAGTAAAATATGTAAATATTTGTGCATTTAAAAATACTTGCAGCATGGGAAAACTATATGAAATTAAATGATTAGGAAGAATCAAATATTTGAAAATGTTTAATTAATTTTATAAAAATTTTATACAAAAGAAAATGACAAAATAACTTAAATGTTAAACTATTCAGATGGAACTGTTCAGAAAGGATAAGTAAACATTCGAATGTAACGGCAAATGGTTTCCAGGATTTGTTAGGCCAAACACTTCGAGCTGGTATGTGTGCATTTAAAGAATGAATTTAAATTATTTTGATTTCAGTGATTTTCTTTTTCTTTTTGAAAAATAAAATTAGATTTTACAAAAAAAAAAATGTTTTTTTGTTTCTTTGCATGACAGGAAATAGAGAGACGGCATTTATCTCAGCCGTTGCTAGCGCGGGTATTGTGCATGCTATCACGAAAGGATGCAGTGCTGGTAATTTAACAGAATGCGGTTGTGACAGTCAGCCAGGTGGACAACGATACACAGATTTGGTTTACTTTCCTTTTTTTTTAAATTTCGAAATTTAAATAATTTTAAATACTGTTGTCAAGAATTATGATGATTACACAACTGTTTATTTTTAGTAACTGAAAGATTTCTTTTAAAATATGAACACAAAAGAATTTAATACATTTTAATATTGAAATTGAAAAAATTTCAATTCATAGTACAGTACCCATTAACAACATACGTTAATAGAGATTGTAAGTTTTCTTCTTCCTTACTGTTGTTTCATTTTCCTTTTTTCTCTTACATAAAACGAGAAATGGTATAAATTACACAGTTACACTGAATGTTCCAACTAAATTGAAATACAGATATGGTATTAATGCATAATTACTGTAAGATGAATGTGTTCAATTTCCTGAAGTTCAATTAATATTAAGCTAAAAATAAAATGTAATTTAACAAATATTTTGAAATGATTTAATTTAATTTGAATTTTAATAACGTTCAATTGTTAAATGCAAAAATGCTGAATATGCTGTAATATAGGAATTGAAATTTGAAAAATTTTAGGATCATGCAAGTGCAATAGGACGAGAAAAATTCTCATGGGGTGGTTGTTCGGATAACTCGAAATATGGCGTTCATTTTGCTAAGCAATTCCTGGATCGTTTTGAACGAGAACAGTACGAGAAAGATCGTGATATAAGACATCTGATGAATCTTCATAACAATTTTGTCGGTCGTGAAGTATGTTTATATTATATTTTTTATAATACATAATAATACATAAATTCATATTAGTGATTTAGTGTTTTTTTTTTCGTAGATTTTAAATTAATCATTCGGTGAGTTTTAAATATACAAATGAATTAAAGAAGAAAAAGAAAGAAAAAAGTGGAAAAAATTGAATTATTTTAGGCAATTGTGCAAAATATGCGTAAACAGTGTCGATGTCACGGTGTTAGTGGTTCATGCGAATTTAAAACTTGCTGGTTACAAATGCCCAGGTTTGCAGAAATTGGTGAAATGCTAAAACAACGCTATAATCATTTTGCCGTACAGGTATCCTTTTTTCCATTTATGGTTCGGAATATTCAGCTTTGATAAGTGAATTATTTTATTCGTGAATAATCCATCAGATAGATGTTTGAATTTCACTATTATTTTCCGGCAACTGATAAGATTATCACAAACAAAATATTAATGATTGCAAATAAAAGAGTAATTGAATTACTAATTTTTGAAAAGCAAAGTTTATTATACAAAGTTTTAAAATAGAATTTTTTAAAAAGTCGCCAAAAAAAATTGAAATATAAAGATAAAAGCTGAAATGCGAAGATTAAAATGACAGTTATACGATATTTTAAAAGACATTATAAATAATTGAATTATATAGGATAGTAAACTAATAGAAAATACGATGTAAACAGAAAATTATAATACTAACAAGAAAAGAAATAAATCAAATCATAAAAATGAAAAGTATTAATTAAGATTTAAAAAGCGAGAAAATTCTATTAACAACATAAACAGTAACTGTTAAAATGTGATCAGTCAGTCAAATCCGAAGAAAATATTTTATTTTATTTTAGATCTATCGGAAATTTTTGGATGCTACAAATGATTCTAACTGAAAATTGGAGATTTCATTGAATTATATATAATTTGTTCAGGAGGTAGTAGGACACAGAATTCCGTATATTTGTCCAGAAAGTTATACTTTTTTCATAAATTTGCAGTTGTTCATGAAAAAAAAATTGAATTTACAGCTAAAGTTAACATTAAATAATAAAATTAAAGGTAGCAAAAAGGGCAAAAAAACGTTTACGAAGGAAAGAACGTTCGGAAAGAAAAAAACCGTTACGTGGTAACGAGATTGCTTATATTAACAAATCACCGAATTATTGTGAGCGAAATGATGCCGAAGGTAAGAAAAAAAAATTATTTAGAATTAAAATAGTACAATACTTGTAAGATTTTATTGACATACATCATATTTCGTGTAATTTGATTAAAAAAAAATTTTAAATTTAGATTTTTTTAAGGCAAAATTTTAGATCTTTCTCTATTGCTTAACAGATAATAAATTTAAGTTCATAGAGACGATTGAAAAAAGGATTTTCTAAAGTGTTATCTTAAGAAACGAAACAGATGAAGAGTAAAAATTTCCAGGTATTCTTGGTACGCATGGCCGAGAATGTAATCAATCATCGCTTAATTCGGATAGTTGCGATCTATTATGTTGCGGTCGCGGCTACAATACAAAAGAGGAGATACGTACGGTGCAGTGTCATTGCAAATTTGTTTGGTGCTGCTCCGTGAAATGCAAAACATGCACGGAGAAAGTTCTTGTTCATACATGCAAATAGAATTTTTAACATTTTTGTTTATGTGCTAATTTTTGTTTTAAAATTTTTAGAAAAAAAAATCATTCTGATAATTCAATGAGAAACATCATATCACTATCATTCAGTTATATCCGTTGATAGATGATATGCTTACCCTAAAATTGAATGGTCACGTAAATATGATTCAACAATAATAACACTTAAAATTACTTTGTACAGTTCATAAACTGCTTATGTTGTGAATAATTTGGCCATAATTATTAGGCCTTTTTAACCTGCCAATATATATAGCAAATGCCTTTCTTTAGGCGTATCTACACAGCTTTTTGAAAATATATTCTATCACACATTAAAAAAAAAAAAAACATAAGAGAAAATGAAATAAATATTGTTAGAATTAATTATAACTTCACATTGATGCATAATGATAACCTTTGTTTCTTTTTTGTAGTATCATTAAATTGTTTTACTCTTTTTTTTCTTAATTTTTATTATTTGTTTAGAAGCAACAAAGTGTGAATGTGTTATGAAGAAAAGTGATTGATAATTAATTAAATGATTCTTTTGCATATCCAAAAATCATCAATGAGTGCTGCAAATATTTGTCAAATTATGTAATGTTCAACATTTGCTTGCTTATTCTTTATTTTTTTGTTTTTCTTTCATTTTTCGTTTTTTCTTTTCTTGCTATTTAAAAATTCTCATTTATATTAATGTGATTTGAATATTGGAACTCTTTCGTTTTTTTTTTTCATTTTTCTTCATTGTATGTTTTCCTCTTCCCAAATTTATCCAACTAAATTTCAGCAGAATTGACCATTCCATTTATCATTTCATATAATCAAAGTGTTATTTTGTTAAAGCGAAAGATATTTAATGATATGATTAGGTTGAAATATTAATGAATGATTTGAAATTAAACAGTCATATATTTTAAAAAATCTTCAAAAAAAAAACGAACCAATTTATGTTTTATACAATTTATATTATATCTCCAAAAACAATTATCAACATGTCAAAGGATGATTGTTCTAAAAATAAAGTTGGATATTTTTGAAAAATCGATGTTTATATTATTTAAAATGTTACTTTTCTTTTCCCAAATTTCATTGTACGAGTGAAGCTTTATAAGAAATATAAAAGAAAAAAATATAAAAATTACATGCAGTTAAAATGATGCAAAAACGCAAAAGAAAATTGCATTTGACATATTTAATAAATGAAACAATTCTGCTTATTATATTTCAAAAGAAATATTAACTTCATATTTAAAAATGATAAAATTTTTCAAGTAAAATTTAAATAATCCTCATAAAACTCTCGATTTTTTTAAAATTGAGGCCTTTAAAATTTAACATTAATTTTGTATAAAAACATAACAAAATATATTTTTCATTAGTACCATTTTCTTTTTTTTTTTAATTTAAATACCAACAATGGAATGAATTCAAATAGTAATAGTGTTTAATTCCGACAAAAACATTTTGCTTACATTTAAATGCATGAGTGGTGGTATTGAAGTCAACTTATCATCACGTTCATACACGTTTTTTACGCTACTTTTTCTCTGATATATTTAGTTACGTATTTAAAAAATATTTTCGTTTCATTATGCATTTATTTTGTTACGTTGTGTGCGAGAAAAAATAAATATTATTTGTAGCATAACATACTGTTTTGCTATATTTACCATTTCGTGCATGCTCATTTCATTGAGTAATTTCAAGTGTAATCAAAGATAAGAAAATGATGCTAATAAAAATAAAATGAATTTTATTACTGCATCATGGTCAATAAATTTTTATTGCTGTAAAGTGTCAATTGCACTTTTTCGGAATAAATCACAAGAATTAGGTCATCATTTTTTTTTGTTTTTTATTTATACAAAATTTGTTTTAAAAAAATGACAACCCTAAATTTTTGTTTTATCATTTACATGCAACATTTTTCACTTAAAAATTTCAGTAACAACAATAAAAGAAAAATGAATTTTGTTACTCCACAAAAAAACCATTCGTATCTGCAACTCGTTTATCGAGAGTTACTTTAACAGTTTTAGTATGCCATACCAAGATTTCACGTTCTTTCTGAAAACAATCGAGATATTTCCTGTACTGTACAAAAATTTGTATTATTTGTATTTGAAATTCTAAATTTAAATCAAATATATTTAATATTTTTCAAAGTGTTTGGTTCTTTCTTTTCGTAAATTTTCCGTTCGGTAATTTTTGCATAATTTTAAATTCGTGAAATTTTCGAGGTATTATAAAAAGTATTTAAAGAGTTTGTAAAAAATATTTGAAGTGTTTATGAATATGAAGGAAATGATATAAGCATTTTTAAGTTGCAAGAAAATGTTAAAATAGAAATAATTTACATTTTTCTAATCGATTCTACCACATCTGATCTGATTTAGTTAAATTCATTAATTATCAATTATCTTCTAAAAGTTGAACCATTTTGACTGTAATTATTTCAAGCTTTGGAATTAAATAAGTACAAAATCAAAGTCAAAATGTTTAAAGTATGATGAATCCGTACCACAAAACGCATATAGGCTGCTAAATGACTTTAATAAATTTAACTGAATCGTTTTTTTAATTCCAAATAAACATTTATAAATAAAGTATTGTTATGCAAATAAAAAGTTAGACATATTAACTTACATTACCAAATTAACAATACAATTTTAAAATGCTAGTTAATGGATAAATAATTACTAGGTAGTATTTCAAGTGAATCATACCTCTTCGAAGCCAAATGGCTCGAGATCAAGAATCTGAAGGCCGAGATCTTCAAGAAAACACGTTTCCGGTGCCCCGAGACCGCGATTGCATGATTTACCAAACACTGCCGTTGAGCTAAACAAACAAATTTATTTCCAAAAAAAGAGAAACAAATATGTGAAATAAAAATATTTAAAATTTCAAAATTTCATACAATTTACACATTACTTAGAATAATATGACTATTAATTAAATGAGACTATTTGTCATTTTTAATTAATAAAGATAAAAAGATCAAATACTTACTTAAGCACAATATCTAAGGCTACCGCAAAACCAGCCATGTCAGTAGCAAATTTCCTTTTCTTATGCCATACCACATTCCATCCAACAACTGTTCCATTAACAACTGCAGGGGATTCGACCAATGCGCCTCCGGCAAAACCTGAATACTTTTCGCAAATTTAATTTGAAGCACCAACTCAAAAACTTCATGTGTTAACTCTGAAATCTTTAACTTTTCATTAAAGATTAAATTTAGAGATATTATTTTGAAATGTTGTCAGTTCGATTGACAAGTTTATTTTTTAGCATGCTACTGCCCGAAACCATCTTTCAACTTTTCATTTATTTGAATAATTCGAACTCAAATTCTATCAAAATTGAAATGGATGATTGAATTGATACAAAATGATGCAAACTGCTCACCAACAGCCCATATTCCAACTTTTTGTACATTCCTTATATAATCATTGAATAATCGAATATCATATGAGTTATCATCGTCAGCAAAGTAAACAACTGATTTGGTTGATTCACCACTTATTAAATCCGAATTATTACGTAAATATTGCAGTGCCATTGTCCGTTGATACCATCCGCGACCTAAATTTCATCTGATTTAAATCGCATGTTTTAAATTCTAGCGGCTAATTTTAAGCAAAGATACATCTAAGTCGAGCTTTTCTTTATAGATAGGAATAATGTCAAATGCACTGCATTATACCGACGTTTTAAAAAATACTTCAAATTTTAATATCTTGTTTAAATTCAGGTCATCAAAAGTTTGAATTGAATGGCCTTAAAGACATAAATGGTACTTCAAATTAAATAAGCCATTCTATCATTACATATCTCAGGAAAAAAATTACGCTGTTTACATAAAATTTAATGAAGTGCATGTTTACAAAATTTGATTACTATGATAGAATCGCAGTGATTAACACAAATAGTAATCTATTGGTCAAAGTTTAAATTTTTAATTATTCCATAATAGTTAATTAGATTTGTCAAATTCTTAATGTCTAATATTAAAGAAAAAAATTTTATAAGTCAAAAAAGAAAATGAAAAAGTAAAGCAACAATAGAAGTAACAAACTATTTCATAGCCTAATTTACATGATTAATTATTGAGTTGCCATAGCAATATTGACTTTAATTTCGTCAGCTCACTTTTGAAATTTGGAATTTAAAGAAAAGAAAATACAGATTAAAGAAATAGGGAAGGAAAATGAGATAAGAAATTGGTCAAAAAGTTTTAAATCTTCTCACTCTTTTTATTTTTATAATACAAATAACAGGAGAAACCAATTAAAAAAGGAAGGTGTAAATTTCTAATCAACAATTCATTTATGTAGCATTAACTCAATAATGCATTTTCATTTCTTTTAACACTAATCAGTTATTGTAAGTGATAAGCTGATAATTTAAGATATTGATAACTTACGTGGATAACCTGGTGGTGTTTTGGCTGGGAAATATGAATACGGTAAAGCGGTACGATTGAGCAACTTTTCAACAGCTTTTACTTTATGATTTTCATCTTCAATAACAATCCAATATAAATTTTTGATATGTGATAATGTGTTTGCCATCCTGGAAATGTTCTTTTATTGCTTCAGTATATTAATTTATTACAGTTACAATAAGTGAATATCAAACTGCGTAATTTTGCTTGAAATATAAATAAATTACGTAAGTAATAAATTTTGTTCTTTGATTAGGAAAAAACAAAAAAATTTTTTTTTTGGTGTTTTTTTCCTAAATTCAGTTCAAATTTGCATGGTTTATATATTTAAAGCATAAAAATATTGTTGATAATTTTGAATTTTTTTTTTTTCAAACTAAACAAACCTTGTCATATCGGCTAATCTTGTTGGCCGACGATAAGTTGGTGTTATTACAATAATTTGAGAGAACAGTGAAGGCGATAATGATGCTTTTAGCGGTGTTCTCAATGTATTTGATGACCTAAACAAGAAATTAAATTAACTAAGTGGTTTAAAATGATGACCCCATGTGAACTAAATAGTTCAAGGTAATAATGACCTAGATGTTAATATCATGCAAAACACTATATGCTAATAACAATGCCAATAATTTCGATATTAACTATGATATCATATTTCGTTTAGTTGCGGAAAAATTTAATAACAATTTTTATCTAGGCTTATAGCTCAACTCTAGCCATGTCCAATTAAAATTACTTCCAACATTCATAAATTAAACGAGCTAATATTAGAGTTTATTTATTCATGAATAACGACAAATAGTCATATTATCTCTTTTTGATATTATCCAAATACTTTTGTTAAAATTTTACATAATATTAATTGGTTTGATAGAGAAAGAAAAAAAAAGGGATTATTTAATTTTTACTAATTGCAATATTATTTTAAATTGTATCAATTATAACGTTACTTGATGAGACTAGTATCATAGAATTCTTAATGGTATATAATTATAATTAATTAATTAATTAGAAAGATAACAAAAACAATAGCATACCAAATAGATGATGTAAATTGTGTAATTAACAGTAATATAAATACAGCAGCAAAAATACGTAAGTAAAATATCATGTAAGTTCGATGCCTCGATCCTGAGCTTCGCATTTGTCGTAGGCATTTCTCCATTGAATTTTCATTTGTAAAAGGAAGAAAATAAAAAACCTGTTTTAAATAGATAATATATACATACTTTTAATTAATCTCTCCTCTTCGAAACGTTTTTAAATTATCGCTTACTATTTTGACACACAGTAATAATTAAATCATTTAATTGCATCATTATAAATATCTTTCAATCATTTCTTCTTTTAATTCGTATTCTTTTTGCTCTTTTTGTAAAAATTTTTAATTTTTTTTTATCTTCGAAATAATAATTTCAAATTGACTATATTATATAATAATGGTAAATTTTAGCTCTAATCAATTAACCGTGAATTGAGAATTTTTGAATTGGAAAGAAAAAATTAAATAAAATTGAATATCTCTTAGCTGTGCACCAATCTAGACTTAACACTTATTTCCAGTCCATTACAAACTGCGCTTTCGACAATAATGATGTTAAAAGAAAATTTATGTTTAAATTTCATTATATTCACATTTCATATAAAAAAGGAATGAATATCGAAGATACATTATGAGAGAATATATTTGTATATGACCATTTGTCACGTGCATGTATGTTTCGAATTTCAATTCTTCTGTTGCATTTAAAATTTTGGAACAAAATTTTCTTTTTTTTTTTCTTCTTGTTACAAAATGCTTATGCGCTGGTATGTACTAAGAATTTAGTAATAGTTATATTAATTATATAACATTTCATCAAACAAATTATTGTAATATATTCAAGATGAAAGTATGAATTTTTCAACACGTTCTATGAGTAAAATTTTGTAGAGAAGTAGATGATGAGACAAAAAGAAAAAAAAGATGTTTAAGCGAAATAAAATTGGAAAATTCAATTAATAAGGAAATTTCAATAAAAAGAAAAAGCGATAAAAATCAATTTCTTCCTATGTTTTTTTTTTCAGATTCAATTGTTAAAAGAATATCAAACATACACTCAAGAATGCATATTTGATAGCTTAAAACTTTCAAATAATTCATTTTTATCATTACTTCTGAAGAATCATATCTTAAAATGTGCCAATTTTGCTTATTTATTAATTTTCAGCATATTAGTTTACTAATGCTTAATTTTCCAATAAGAAAATTTAAAAATTTTAGCGGATTATTTAGAAATGATATTAGGGATAAACAAATATGCATCGCAGCGGAATTAAGCTAAGTATAAAATGAGGTCATTTTTTTCAGTTGATAATTTGTTAAACAAGCTACATAAGTTAAAAAAATAGCTTTCAGCACCATACATCAGTATACTTTCTACACTACCAAACCTAATTTAAGGTAGAAATAGGATTTAAGGAGAATTCCACTAATAAAAATTGATATATTTTCTAAAAGAATTTTCATAATATTAAAATTAAAAATGATAACAAATTTCGGATAATTAACAAACTTAATGAAAAATCCGACAATAATTAAAGTGGTAAATGAAAAACAAATCCGATAATAATTAAATCTTTTAATTGAAATACTCCTTTATTTCTGAAATTGTCCATGCCGATAAAGTTTGCAAATGATAGCCGCTATGCTACTTCCCTCAATTCAACCTTCTGGTTAGACTTTCGATTATTGAACCAACCACTTTTCTATGAATAATGCATAACAGTATTTCACTGACTTCCTTAGAGGCTTCTAAGACAACGCTTTACATGTCTTTTAATGCCTTGACATTGCCTAATGACTGTCATTTCCGCAATGTGCTAAAAGACCAAATTTGAGAATAATTTTAAAATTACATCCAATCTTAGCAAAATTGATGTAGAAATAAAAAAAAAATAAGGCAACGATAAATTAGTAGCAAAAAAGAAGAAAAGAATTCCACAAACAATTCGAATTTAAAATAAATATTTACAAATTTCAATATTTGACAATTTTTGTTTTCCTATCATCTTGTGTTAAATTGAGTATATGCTTGTTTAGTGTCATTTCTCGTTTTCGAATCAGCCGATAAACTTGTATATGATGTTAAATAATGATATTTACAAAATGGCGAATCATTGTCTCTTTCATCCACTTTAAAGATTAATTCATTTGATAAATAAAAATAATTTCTGCTATGCTCAAAAATATTTCATCATTAGTTTTACTTTATGGAATTTCACTTTTTTTTTTCTCCCCCTCTCTCTCTTTCTCTCTCTCTCTCTCTCTCTATCTCTTTCTCTTTCTCTTTCTCTCTTAGTGCCATATATCATGAATAGGCCGAAAATGGCGCAATAATTTTAAATATATGAGAGAAATTCAATTTTGGTATATACTGGATAGTTTTCCACTGAGCATTAAAAGGTAATACAAAAGATTTTGTTGATTGGTAGGAATAAAAGTGAACCATTCAATATCATAATAATTTATCAAATTTTCATCAATTGGATGAAATGAAAAAAAATTAATTTCGATAAATTTTAATAAAAACCGGATTATTAGAAACTGTTAGGATATTTAGCGAAACATATCTTCATTCATTGATTGTGTAATTTTTACGAAAAACAATGAGCGAGTGCTCATCGATCATGCAAAAAGAGTTTTACAATACTATTGATTATATCATTGATTATTTTAGTTCATATTTCTCTAATTAAGCTATCAGTAAATTTTCATGAATATCACTGTAATTTTCCTAATTGTAAATTTTTTTTCGTTGCAATTCTATTTTTACTCATTTCACTTTTATGCTGTTAAAAATTTTCTTGCAAACATCATTCAATATCATATTCATTTATCAAATGAACCATTCAATATCATATTTATTTATCAGATTTTTATCAATTTGATGATCCTAAAAAAAGCAAACATCTGTTTCTAGAATAAATAATTGGAATTACATTTTATTAAATGAATAACAAAATTGTTATAGTAGTCTAGTATTCTAAAATTGATATAAAAAAGACATTAAAAATTATTTAAAGGTTAAAACTTATTGAATAAATGAAGAAATAAAAGTGTATGCTTACAAATTAGCCTAACACTGAAAATATTATAGGCTTTATAATTATGGCTTTCTGATTATAACTTGTGGCTTAATCAGATTTTCAATGGTTATTATAAATACATTACATTAATTCCTGCTCCATACTATTTTATAACATTAGTAAACAGGTTATATTATTATTACTGCTATTAATATATCGATATTGCTATTATTATCATTATTGTTATTGCTATTATTATCATAATGACAATTTGATATACCCGATCAATTTCAAAAACATTTAATCATACATCTACGATACTAAATGATATTCTGATTAATTGGCCTATTGATGTTCTAAATAGGTGCAATTTCGAGTAAAAAATAAGTAAAAATAAAAGTAAATAAATGAAGTGAATTTTATTCAATATTAATTTGAATTTTTAAAGTTTATAATTTCTTGTTATGTATTGATCGATATTCCTGTCTTTCTAATCTAACTACAAAATTGCTAAAAGCTTATAGATCAACAACATAAACAATTAATGGTCAAATTTAAATTTTGAAACGAATTTATAAATTGATTCAAAATGAAGAGAAAAAAAAACAAATATAGATGGAGGAAAGAGGTGAAAAGAAAAGCAACAAATATAAGCAATTCTATCGCTTGAGGCATAATATTAACTACCCATGCCTGAAAGACATTATACAGTTAGTTGATTGATTGGAAGCGGGTAAAGCGGGGGAGGGAAGAAGGAGGTGAATTGCGGGACGATAAGGATAGAAAGAGGTAAATAACAATTGGAAGGAAAAGGCGGAGGGCGGGTTCGAGATAAGAGGGGGTAAAAACAAGAAAATATGGGGTTAACTAAATTATAAATTTACTATTTTTGCTTCATTCAGAATGACTCAATTTCTATAATTTCTCTACTATCTATTCATTTCAATTGTTTACTAAAATATGCCGAAAAAAAAAAGATGAAGGGAAAATATTACCATCACATCGTTCAATAAAATCGTTTCATTCATTTCATTGCTTATTTATAAAATCTCTCACATTAAAATTATTCCTTTGCTATCAAAAAAAAAAAAAAGTTTTTTTATTTTGAAAAATTTTCCCTTATCTTATTTTACCACTTTTTTTTCTCCGCCTCTTTTTTTTCATTATCCTTTTTTTCCCTTTTTTTTTTTCAATTTTACTTTTTTTCTTCACCGCATTTTCACTTTTCATTTATTGTTTGATCATCCATTTTGTTCCTTTTTTTTTCCATTGTTCAATTTGAAGCCATCATTTTTCTCCCATCACCTCGCCCTCTCTTCCATTCCTTTTGATAATCCACCTTCCGTTGCTCAATTTGATACAATTTAATTTCGAAGTGAAAGAAAAATATGCAACTAATAATTACTCTTTTTTCTTTTTTTCGCTAAGACAGTTTCAACAATTATTCCAGAATTATTATTCTTTCTCTTTCTCTCTTTTCTTTCAAATTTTCTTCCTTGTCTTATTAATTATTGATGGTAACGGATT